GAGACCAGCCTGGCCAACGTGGTGAATGTAAGGGTTATTGCCGAGTTTAAGATGAGGAAACTGAGGTCAGTATAAGAAAATTAAATGCCAGTTTATTCAGCTCCTGGGAGAGGTTCTAGGGTCTGGGGAAAGGGGGCCAGAGAAGTACCGCTGACTTCCTGGGGCGTGGGGTTTTTATGGCTATGAGGAACAAACAACAGCAGGGTGCTCTGATTGGCTCCGGGGGAGTGGGATTGGGACGGGGCAGGCCGCCATTTGTTGGCGGGTTATCGGGTGGGTTTTTTAGTGCAAGAGCTGGCCAGGGTTGCATTAGCCGAAGCTTTTTGGTTTCGGTTTCTTGGCCCTGGGCGCCGGTTTCCCGACGTCACAAGGTACTCCAAATGAGGCCGCCAGCCTTACATTCCGACCCTTTTGATGATATAGGATGCTGTTTTCTTCTGGCTACTTCCTGCTGAATAGGGGCATAGTGAGGGAAAAGGGTCAGTTGGCTGGTGCCTCAGTTGGGAGTCGGACATAGGGGTGAAGTAGCATCTGGTTTACGGCCACCCTGGAAATTTCCCTTATGCGGGCCTGTAAAAACCTGAGGAAAAAAGGGGCTAACATTAACAGAAGGCAAACGACGATAATGGGAGTGATAATAGGGGTCAGCCAGGTAAGCATGGGGGATTGCCACCAGTTGAGAGGCCAGACTGATGCATTTTGCTCCTTGCAGAGGTCTTCTTGGAGGCGATAGAGAATGCTGACATTTTCCTCTACAAGGCCTGTTTCATTGATATAATAGCAGCACTGTTCCTGAAGAAACAGACAGCTACCTCCCTTTTCTGCTGTCAGCAGGTGAAGGGCCCATCGGTTCTGGAGTTACCTGGACCATTGACATCATTCGTCACTGGAGAGGCCAGGGAGGCGGCCGATGCTTTGGTTCTTGGCTTTGGTTAAATTTAACATGTTGGCTCCCTGCTGTACTAGAGTCAACCAGGAGAAAGGTTAAGAGGTACTATCTGAGAGTTTGAATTGGTTAGTTAGGGTAGCTTCATTTTGCAGGTTGTGTGGCTCACAGAGCTGAGTTATTCTATAACCTCAGGGACAATTTGGGTATAGGACCGGAGTATCAGCCATGTTCCCTGGGGCGGGCTGTTTTGCCACCAATTGTAGATTTTTCCATTGACCCCCTTTATCCAGCGGTTGTCCCACGGGTCACGGATGGTAAGAAATAACTTACCTCTGCCGTCGGAGGTGAGTACCTTTTTTCCTTTTTGAGTTCCCGTTGTGTCAAGCTGTGGTGTATGGATGACGCAGGAATTATATGGGCATCCCCCCATAGGTGGTGTTCCACCGATGGCAATAGTCATGGTATTGGTCATAGAGAAAGCACAGGCCATGAGCAGAGAACCCGATTTGTAGAGTTTTGGTCTTTGTTTTTTGGATCTTAGTTATTACTGCTGACTGGCAGCCAGCGGGTTGGCAGTCTGCCTGGGCAATGTAGTGAGTCCTGGTGGTGGGACCCTCAACCCAGGATTCCTGGTTGTAGAAGCGCCAAACTTATGAGTTGGCTCCAAGAGGAGATATCAGAAGGACTGTCAGGAGGAGGCGCTGAAGGGTTAGGGGGCGACAGGTTGGGGCAACGGGTGAGACGGAGGCAAGTGGGGCCCAGGGGTTCAGACTTCCCCTGATCATTTTGGGGGGCCAGCTTGAGGCGGGACACATGGTACCACAGAGTGTGACCCAGGAGTTTGGCCACTGTGGGGGTGGTTAGGATAACAATGTGAGGTCCCGACCACCTGGGCTGCAAAGATCCTGGTTTGAGCTTTCGGAGAAGAATGCTGTCGCCTGGTTGGAGAGGTGTTGCTGGGTGGGGGTCTTCCAGTCCTGGAACAACAGGGAGGGTGGGGTCTGTGTGCTCCCTTAGCAGGTGGCGGAGAAGAGAGAGGAAGGGAAGGTAGGAAGCCAGTGGGGGTGGTTTTACAGGAAGATTATGGGAAACCAGGAAAGGTCAGCTGTACAGCAATTCAAAGGGGCTAAGGCCCGTTGGCCCCGTGGGGTTGCCCGGATCTGGGCCAGGGCAAGAGGTAGGAGTGTGGGCCAAGAGAGTTTTACCTCACTAGCAAGTTTGGCCAAATGGTCTTTGAGGATGCTGTGGGCCCGTTCAACTTTACCCGATGACTGAGGATGGTAAGGGATGTGTAGTTTCCAGGAGATGTTGAGGGACTTGGTGATTAGCTGGACTACTTGGGCCATAAATGCTGGACCACTGTCTGACTGGATGGTGGCAGGTAGGCCGAAGCAAGGGATGATTTCTTGAGTAAGAAGGGAGGCCACTGTGTCTGCTGTCTCCCGGGAGATGGGGAAGGCTTCAATCCAACCTGAAAAGGTATCTACAAAAGTTAGGAGGTAGCGGAGCTTTTTGTGAGTGGGCATATGAGTGAAGTCAATTTGTCAGTCTTGGGCTGGTAGGTTGACCACGCATTTGGTGGATAGGAAACTGGCCTTAAGCCTCCCTGAGGTGAGACTTTAGAGCAAGTAACGCATGCCTTGCGTACCTGCTCAATTGTTTGTTGCAGACCTGGTGAGAAAAAGAGGGGCTATACAAAGCAGTGTAATGCCTTAGGCCCTATATGTAAGGATTGGTGGGTTTCAGCAATACTTTTAGGGGCCTGTTCCTGGGGAAGGGTGATTCTGTTATTTAGGAAGATCCAGCCCTGATTAGATTCTGTTCCCCCTTTTAGTATGAGGGCCTATTTTTCTGATGGTGAGTATACAGGCTGTGTGGCCGTGGTAAGGAAGAGAACAGGGGTAGGGGTCAACTTGGCGTTAGTTAAAGATCTTGCTGCTGTATGCCCACGCGTCGCCCCGGGAGACAGCGTCATGCTGGGCCCGGTGTCCTCTGCAATGTATGACTGCAACCTCCCTGGGCAATGATAAGGCCTGTAAAAGGTTGGAGATCTGTGTAGCATTGATTATGGGGACCCCTTCATGGTAAGGAATCTCCAGTCTCTCCAGAGGGCAGAGTGACAATGGGTAATAAGAAAGGCATATTTTGAGTCAGTATAGGTATTTGCTCACTTTCCCTGTGCTAGTGTAAGAGCTCAGGTTAGGGCAATGAGTTCTGCCTTTTGTGATGTGGTTCTGTTAGGGAGACGATGTGCCTCGAGGGTGGCTGAATCTGTGACTACCACATAGGCTGCCTTTCGCTGCCCGTCGGCTGTCATTACTGAACTTCCATCCACATAGAAGGTAAGGTCTGGGTTAGGTAGGGAAAGGTCTATCTATCTATCTATCTATCTATCTATCTATCTATCTATCTATAAAATGGGCTGGGTGTGGTGGCTCACGCCTATAATCCCAGCTGAGATCCTGCCACTGCATTCCACCCTGGGTGACAGAGCAAGACTCCCCGCCTCCCCTCTGAAAACAATAGGAGGTAAAAGTGACCAGTTCTTGGTGAATGACTGAATAATAATAGTGGCCATTCATAAAGCAGCAATCACATCCTGGATTTAAACAGGCTGATTAAGTCCTTAATGGTTACACAGTTTATAAGTAATAGAGGCAAGGGTCCCTGATAGCTAAGTCCATGTTCTTTGGACTGTTTTATGCTTGAAGGTAAGGAAAGGTAAGCATAGGTTTCTGAGTCTAAGATGGAGACTAAAGGAAAAAGGCTTTTGTGGAAAACGGCGTTTGCTTTTAGACCTGTTTAATTTGCTTTATTGGTGTGATGTTTGCAGGGGGTTCAGTAGGTAAATATTCGAACCCTAAGTCCAGAAGAAAAGTGAGGCCTGGAGTTAGAGTTGAGAATGAGTGTACAAGCTCGCCTTGGAGATCTGTGAGTTTGATTCTGGACCACTGCAATAAAGCAAGTCACGTGGAGTGTTTTGCTTGCCCTGTGCATATAAGTTATATTTATACTACGCTGTAGTCTACTAAGTGTAAGTGCAATAGCATTACATATTTGTTTTTTCTTTTTCTTTTCTTTTTTTTTTTTTTGAGACACCCAGGCTGGAGTGCAGTGGTGCCATCTCAGTGCACTGCAACCTCCGCCTCCCGGCTTCAAGCGATTCTCCTGCCTCAACCTCCTGAGTAGCTAGGATTATAGGCACCCAGGACCACGCCTGGCTAATTTTTTTTATTTTTAGTGGAGATGGTGTTTCACCATGTTGGCCAGGCTGGTCTTGAACTTCTGACCTCAGGTGATCCACCCAACTCAGCTGGGATTACAGATGTGAGCCACCGTTCCTGGCCCATCTACTTCTGAGTTCTTCTGTTTCCTCCTTTCCTTCACTGAAATGTCCCCTCAAGTCCTGGCTCCACCTTTCTTCGGATTCCAGCTGTTCACTTTTGCTTCAAATCACTTCCACCAACCTGTCTTCCTAGCACCTGTTTCTCCAGTCTTTTAATAAAATCTCCCTCTGGACATGACAGTGTTCAAGCAAGGTCAGGCCTGGAGAAGGAGGGCATGCCAAAGATGAGGGTAAAGAAAGAGGACTGCATCTCTGAGTGCCTTGTTCATTATCGGGGCTTGAGTTGGCAGGGCATGTCTTGGGGCAGAACACCTGGGCTGTCATGGCAAGGGTACCGGTACAGAGAGGCTCCTGCCAGGGTCTCAGAGTATGAGGTTGATTTCTGCTTGGGAGGAACAAATAAAGCATTGTTTTGTTTTTTGTTTTTCCTGAAACAACTTTAATTTCTTTTTGTGGTTAATCCTGTGGATGTCAGAGACCTAGAATTTAACCCAGATGGAAGTCTGGGGTTTGTGTCCTGGTGGCAGGTGATTTGTATGGAACTCAGTGTTGACCATTTTTTAGTGTGAGTTCTTTTCCTGCCTCAGTGTCTGGAATAAGCCTCTGATTTGGGAGATTGAACCCGTTCCCCTTACTCTAGGCTAAACTTACTTAGTTCTTCTGTAAGTAGTTCAGGGTTTTCCCAGGCCTTGGTACAGAGCTTCCCAGCCACAAAAGCTAGGAACTGGGAATGCTGTTTAGTATTTGGCATTTCTTTCTTTGCAGAAGCGAATGTCTGTGATGGAGGGTGGTATCAAATACCCAGAAACGACTGAGGGAGGCCGCCCCAAGCTTGGGGGGCTGATGGATCCAAGACAGGGGGTGATTGAGCGGACTGGCCGCTGCCAAACATGTGCAGGTAAGTGCTGGGGGCTGGGTGGGATCCCAAAGGGGAGGTAGGTAGGTTGGGTCCTCAAAGAAAACTAGGGCTGATGGTAGACACCTGGAGGCCTCAGAGATGAGTGGAGCTTGGAGCAAAGCACTGGGTGTGTGTCCCACAGGAAACATGACAGAGTGTCCTGGCCACTTTGGCCACATTGAACTGGCCAAGCCTGTGTTTCACGTGGGCTTCCTGGTGAAGACAATGAAAGTTTTGCGCCGTGTCTGCTTCTTCTGCTCCAAACTGCTTGTGGACTCTGTGAGTGGGGAATGGGCTCTGGTCTGGGAGGGAGGCTGCTGGTGGTGGGGAGGGGGATGGCTTCCACTGACCCTGCTCTGCCCTGTCCCCAGAACAACCCAAAGATCAAGGACATCCTGGCCAAGTCCAAGGGACAGCCCAAGAAGCGGCTCACACATGTCTACGACCTTTGCAAGGGCAAAAACATCTGCGAGGGTGGGGAGGAGATGGACAACAAGTTCGGTGTGGAACAGCCTGAGGGTGACGAGGATCTGACCAAAGAGAAGGTGGCTGGGGCTGGTGGAGACTTGGGAAGGAGGGGTCAGAAGGTAGCCATAGAGGCCTGGAGGGAGGAAACTGGAAGGGAAGGACATGGAGGAGCAGGAGGAGCCAGCCTGGTGTGGAGGGAAATGGCTCAACCTCTGGGCTCTGATGACTCCTCTCTCTCCTCGGAAGGGCCATGGTGGCTGTGGGCGGTACCAGCCCAGGATCCGACGTTCTGGCCTGGAGCTGTATGCGGAATGGAAGCACGTTAATGAGGACTCTCAGGAGAAGAAGATCCTGCTGAGTCCAGAGAGAGTGCATGAGATCTTCAAACGCATCTCAGATGAGGAGTGTTTTGTGCTGGGCATGGAGCCCCGCTATGCGTGGCCAGAGTGGATGATCGTCACGGTGCTGCCTGTGCCCCCACTCTCCGTGCGGCCTGCTGTTGTGATGCAGGGCTCTGCCCGCAACCAGGTCAGTGGCTCCAGGGCTCGGCCTTTTAAGCTGGAGGGCGAGATGTCTAAAGGGAGGAAGCCCTGTAGGTGGGGCTGGGGTGTGCCCTGGGGGATGGATGGATGGATGGATGGACCTGGGTTTGAAAATACCCTGCCACTTACTTGTCGTATGACCTTTCATGAGTCCCTTTATGTGGTTAAAGGCCATAAAGGTGTTTCTGAATCTATCAGTGATAGTGGGCAGCCCCACCTCCCGGGGTGGAATGAGGATGAGAGCTGTGCTGTGTGCCTGGCACATGCCTGCCGAGCGCTGGCAGTGGTGGCTGGACCATGATGATTCTGACTTCCTGCCTCAGGATGACCTGACTCACAAACTGGCTGACATTGTGAAGATCAACAGTCAGCTGCGGCGCAACGAGCAGAATGGTGCAGCGGCCCACGTCATTGCAGAGGATGTGAAGCTCCTCCAGTTCCATGTGGCCACCATGGTGGACAACGAGCTGCCTGGCCTTCCCTGTGTGAGTCAGCATGCTCCCCACCCCTCTGTGGATTGGAGCCAGGGTTGGGGCTAGCATGAGGCCTCAGAGCTCTGGAAGAGGACCCAGTGTTGACTTTCTGGGCCACCCCACCCTGTGTTTTTCCTCACAGGCCATGCAGAAGTCTGGGCGTCCCCTCAAGTCCCTGAAGCAGTGGTTGAAGGGCAAGGAAGGCCGGGTGCGGGGGAACCTGATGGGCAAACGAGTGGACTTCTCGGCCCATACTGTCATCACCCTCGACCCCAACCTCTCCATTGACCAGGTTGGCGTGCCCCACTCCATTGCCGCCAACATGACCTTTGCAGAGATTGTCACCCCCTTCAACATTGACAGGTGTGCCTCCACTGGAAATGGCTAGGGAAGACATGGCCTCAGTGGCAAGGCTTCGAGTCTGTTCATCCTACCTCGGGAGTGGGCTTGAAGCAAGGAGCTGAAGTTCTGAAGTTGAACTTCTACTCAGGGCTCTGGGGTGAGGGTGGCTGAAGGGGCTTTTTAGGAAGCATTGTGTTCATTGCACCTCTTTCCTTCCTAGACTTCAAGAATTAGTGCGCAGGGGGAACAGCCAGTACCCAGGGGCCAAGTACATCATCCGAGACAATGGCGATCGGATTGACTTGCGTTTTCACCCCAAGCCCAGTGACCTTCATCTGCAGACCGGCTATAAGGCATGTCACAGGCCAGGGCCTCTCTCAGCCACCTGAGCAGAAAGCTTTCTGAAACGGTGCAGGCTGGGATAGGCCATCTGAGTCTGTCTTGTTCATTGGGATTTTGACTTGACTCTCTTGTTAAAGGCTACTGCTGCCCAGGTGTGCAGGCAGCTGCTGGCCACTGACATTCAGGGTGAGGGTTGCACAAACCCAGGGGCAGCATGCATGTGGCAGAGAAGAGGGATCTGTGGAGGAACAGCACAGAAGGCTTTATGCTCAGAATCTCTCTTGCTTTTCTGTCCTCACTGAGATTAGTGGATGCTGTATTCTATTCATCCCTGATAACCTAGTGTCTGGCCCAGGCCCTTGTCCAAAGGAGTGTTTAATAAGTGTTTCAAGTGAATTAGCACCATGGTGTCATCTCTTTCAGGTTGCAAAGGACTTTTTCTTTTTTAAACTCTGGTGTGTAGAGTGTAGTGCTGGTATCTTGGCTCACTGCAACCTCCGCCTCCTGGGTTCAACCAATTCTCCTGCCTCAGCCTCCCGAGTAGCTGGGATTACAGGTGTGTAGTACCACGCCCAGCTAATTTTTGTGTTTTTAGTACAGACGGGGTTTCACCATGTTGTTCAGGCTGGTCTTGAACTCCTGACCTCAAGTGGTGTTCTTGCCTTGGCCTCCCAAAGTGCTTGGATTACAGACATGAGCCACCTTGCCTGACCTGAAAAGGACTTTAGGTTCATTGACATTTCATTCTTAGATACCTCCTTCACTGAGACCTTTACCTTATCTTACCTCCCTAGGTGGAACGGCACATGTGTGATGGGGACATTGTTATCTTCAACCGGCAGCCGACTCTACACAAGATGTCCATGATGGGGCATCGGGTCTGCATCCTCCCCTGGTCCACCTTCCGCTTGAATCTTAGGTCAGTCCCTGGCTGAGGGAAGCAGGTTGGAATTGGGGTTTGGGGGGGTCCACGCTGGGCAGCTCCTCGAGGTTTCACTGCCGACATCTTCCCAACCCTGACTTTTCTCTTTCACTGTAGTGTGAAAACTCCATACAATGCAGACTTTGATGGAGATGAGATGAACTTGCACTTGCCACAGTCTCTGGAAACACGGGCAGAGATCCAGGAGCTGGCCATGGTTCCTCGAATGATTGTCACGCCCCAGAGCAATCGGGCCTGTCATGGGTATCGTGCAGGACACACTGACAGCAGTGCGCAAATTCACCAAGAGAGATGTCTTCCTGGAGCGGGTATGTGGTCCAAATGGAAACCTGGCTTGAGTGGGCAGCAGGGCTTCAGGTGCAAGGTGTAGGCCAGGGAGAAAGAGCTGTGGTTTTTTCCTGACTTACTCTGCACTTGTCTGTTTGTGGGATTGCCTTTGCTGGTGGGCAAAAGGAAAGGGGCTTAGGAAAACTCAGAGGCCAGAAAGGGTGTAAGGCATTAGTTCCCCATTTAATTCCTTAAAATTTCATGTAATTCCAGATATTGTGTGTAAAGGAAAGATAAAGGGGAAAGTAAGTAGGACCTCATTAAAATTTTATTTTTCCATTTTTTTTACCTTCACTCATTTCCTAATTATTAAGAAAAATTTATGCTTATTGTTTAAAAAAGAATAAAAACAACAGTTTTACTATTACAATGAATTTTTAATTAAAAGTTTGAGACCGGGCGTGGTGGCTCACACCTGTAATTCTAGCATTTTGGGAAGCTGAGGCAGGCACACCACTTGAGGCCTGGAGCTGGAGCCAACTCTGGCCAATACGGTGAAACCCCGTCTCTACCAAAAATACAAAAATTAGCTGGCTGTAGTGGCAGGCGCCAGTAATCCTACCTACTCGAGAGGCTGAAGCAAGAGAATTGCTTGACCCCAGTAGGCTGAGGTTGCAGTGAGCCCCGATTGTGCCATTGCACTCCAGCCTGGGTAACAAAGCGAGACCCTGTCTCAAAAAAGAAAATAAAAGTTTGGAAACACATTTCCTGATATCTGTGCCTCCAAAATCTGGCTTTCTCCCTTGGGCAGGGAAACTCTCTAACATTTGTCTCACATTCCTGAGATGTGAGGCCTGCAGTCTGACTTCCTCTCTGTCTTACTCTTTGTCTCACAGGGTGAGGTGATGAACCTCCTGATGTTCCTGTCGATGTGGGATGGGAAGGTCCCACAGCCAGCCCTCCTAAAGCCCCGGCCCATGTGGACAGGCAAGCAGATCTTCTCCCTTATCATACCTGGCCACATCAATTGTATCCGCACCCACAGCACCCATCCTGATGACGAAGACAGTGGCCCTTACAAGCACATTTCTCCTGGGGACACCAAGGTAGGGCCTGGATTCTGAGTATGTGAGGACAGAATTTGGACATGGGAGCCAGGACCGGAGCAGGGACCTTGAGTGGATGCTTTGTCCTTAGGTGGTGGTGGAGAATGGAGAGCTGATCATGGGCATCCTGTGTAAGAAGTCTCTGGGCACGTCAGCTGGCTCCCTGGTCCACATCTCCTACCTAGAGATGGGTCATGACATCACTCGCCTCTTCTACTCCAACATTCAGACTGTCATTAACAACTGGCTCCTCATCGAGGGTGAGCATGGAGGCAGTACCAAGACCTCTCTGTGACTTCTCTCACCTGTTAGTCTTTCCATCCCTTTCTTTCCTCCTTGAATTTGGTGTCCCCCCCTTCTACTCTCTCAGCTATAATTCCAATCCATGTTTCTTAGAGGTACAAAGTGGGGATTGCTGATGCTTTTCCCTGTCTCTAGGTCATACCATTGGCATTGGGGACTCCATTGCTGATTCTAAGACTTACCAGGACATTCAGAACACTATTAAGAAGGCCAAGCAGGATGTAATAGAGGTGAGAGGGAAGGCTGCCAGAGACGGAGTAAGGGGTTTCCAGGGACTTTGAATTTAGCATCGTCAAGAGCAAAGGGAGTGCAAGGTTAGAGGGAAGGGGCAGAGAGAAGGGATTGATGTCTCACTGGGAACTCTGCCTGCAGGTCATTGAGAATTCAATATGCCCCACCTTGCTGTTTCCCAGATCATTGCTGTCGTCGGGCAGCAGAACATGGAGGGCAAGTGGATTCCATTTGGCTTCAAGCACTGGACTCTGCCTCACTTCATCAAGGATGACTATGGGCCTGAGAGCCGTGGCTTTGTGGAGAACTCCTACCTAGCCGGCCTTACACCTACCGAGTTCTTCTTCCATGCCATGGAGGGTTGTGAGGGGCTTATTGACACGTCTGTTAAGACTGCTGAGACTGGTGAGGCTTTCTTCATGGGTCTTCGTTGGGCTATTAACAGGGACTCCTGCAGACTGAGAAACCCCTGACAGGTGGGGAGTGGCAATTCTTGGGCTTCTATTCCCAGGAGTATCATTCTGGCTCTTGTGGAAAGATTAGAGACCCAGAGTAGGCACTAACACCCTCATTTGGATTGCTGTGCAGCATTCCACAACCCAGGGATAGAGCCTCTGGGGCTCTGCTGGCCTGTCCCCTGGGGACAGTTCCTGCTGGGCTTTTTGTCCTGCTAGTGGTAGACATAGTTTTTATTCAAAGGCATTAAAGACAAAGGGGCTACTAGCTGATTCTTCTGAGAGTCAGGGAGCCTGGGTCTTTGGGCTTTATCATTCTCTTTTTTCCTTGGTTCCTACAACTGTTACTTCCCTCCAGGATACATCCAGCGGCGGCTGATCAAGTCCATGGAGTCAGTGATGGTGAAATACGACGCAACTGTGCGGAACTCCATCAACCAGGTGGTGCAGCTGCGCTACGGTGAAGATGGCCTGGCGGGCGAGAGCGTTGAGTTTCAGAACCTGGCTACACTTAAGCCTTCCAACAAGGCTTTTGAGAAGAAGTAAGGAGGCGCAGGCGGGTGGTTCTTGCTCCTGGGGCTCAGGGCCTGAGTAGTAGGGTTCCCATCCCCACTGCAGAGAGACAGCCTGGTATATGTCGAGCTTACCTTTTAGTGTCCTTTCCCCTACCTATCTGAAACAGCTGTGTGACATGGGGGAGGGGTGGATAAAGGTAGATTTAAGATTGGTCCCCACTTTGTCCCTGCTGAGGTTATAAAGCAACTGCAGAGGGGCAGGCATGTACTCAGGTCCCAGTGGCAGTCCTTGAGCCTGGATCTTTCTCTGTCCAGGATTCTTGCCCCTGAACCACTGTACCTGGTCGGCTGTGCACCTTTGGGAGCCTCACAGTGCTTCTTGTGGGGACCAAGGTCCCACAGCCCAGTTGCCCACTGACTACCCCTTGCATTTCAGGTTCCGCTTTGATTATACCAATGAGAGGGCCCTGCGGCGCACACTGCAGGAGGACCTGGTGAAGGATGTGCTGAGCAATGCGCATATACAGAATGAATTGGAGTGGGAATTTGAGCGGATGCGGGAGGATCGGGAGGTTCTCAGGGTCATCTTCCCAACTGGAGACAGCAAGGTGTGTGTGGGTGGGAAGTGCTACGCTACAGATGTGCCGCCCTGGATGGTTGTCCCCAGACTCAACCCCTCCCTCCATTCCCTCCTTCCTCAGGTCGTTCTCCCCTGTAACCTGCTGCACATGATCAGAAAATCTTCCACATCAACCCGCGCCTTCCCTCTGACCTGCACCCCATCAAAGTGGTAGAGAGTGAGTACCTGCTGAGGGGTCTCCAAGCCAGGCCAGGGGAAAGGAGACTGCTGGGCCCTGGTCTAACAATCTCTTCACCTTTAGTTGGTCCCCAGGAGTCAAGGAATTGAGCAAGAAGCTGGTGATCATGAATGGGGATGACCCACTAAGCCGGCAGGCCCAGGAAAATGCCACGCTGCTCTTCAACATCCACCTGCGATCCACGTTGTGTTCCCGCCGCATGGCAGAGGAGTTTCGGCTCAGTGGAGAGGCCTTTGACTGGCTGCTTGGGGAGATTGAGTCCAAGTTCAACCAAGCCATTGTGAGTGTTGTGCTCCTCATGGTAGTCTTGTTTTTCTCCTTTTACCTGTTGACTTTGGTTTCCAAGAACAGCCCACTTCTGTCCACAATCACCTAATAACAGCTCTCATTCATGGAGAGACTGCTGTGTACCTTACCAAGTTCTGTGTTTGGCCAATAGCGGCTTTAGAACACTCCTAAGAGGGGAGGGCTTGTTAGTCCCAGGTTGCAGACACAAAAAGGCTTGGAGAGAGTGGCTGGATTGTATGATGGTCATGTGGGAAATAAGTGGCATGACTGGGATGTGATGTAGGAGAATTGTTCTTTTTTTTTTTTTCCTACTGTCCCTGCTGTGTGCACAGTCTAATTTAGATAAAGACAGGGAATTGGAGGGAGTAAACAAAAAAAGATTTACAGATATTGGAATATGCGTTCACTGGCTTTAAAGATTTTATAGGATAATAACAGGGTAAAGCAGTGTCATTATAATGTCATCATACCTCTGAATCTGTTCAAGTCAATTTTCATAAATTAAATAATAAAAAATGTATTAGGAAACACTGTGGAGCACGGCTGAAAGAAATGTAAGAAGACGTAAATGAAAGATATCTCATGTTCATGAATTGGAAGACTTAGTATTGTTAAATAGCGCTACTTCCCAAAGTGATCTACAGATTCGGTATAATCCCTATCAAAATCCCAACTGGCTTTTTGGCAGGAATTTACAAGTCGACGCTAGAATTCCTGTGGAAATGCAAGGGACGTAGAATAGCCCGAACAATATTTAAAAATAACAAAAGTTGTATGACTCTCATTCCTTGATCTTAAAACTTACTACAGAGCTACGGTAAGCAAAACAGTGTGCTCTGTCATAAAGGTACATGTGAAGACTGATAGAGTAGAATTGAGTTCAGAAATAAACCCTGACATTTATGGTCACTTGATTTTTCACAAGAGTGCCAATTTAATTAAATGGGGAAAGAATAGTCTTTTTAGCAAATGGTGCTGGGGCAGCTGGATATCCACAGGCAAAAGAAGTTGGATTCCTGCCTAACACCATGTACAAAAACTCTCAAAATCCCTAAATTCAAGAGCTAACACTATAAAACTCTTGGAAACTTGGATACCTCTTAATGACTGTGGATTAGGCAGTGAATTCTTAGTACACCAGAAGCATAAGCATCCAAAGGGAAAAATGGAGATGAAAGGGACTTCATCAAAATTTAAAACTTCATGCTTCATAGTAAAGCATGATCAAGAAAGTGCCTACTATCAAGAAAGTCAAAAGATAATGCAGAGAACAGAAGATATTTGGGCTTTTTTTCCACATGTTATGAGGGCTGGTTGGCGGTGGGGGTCTCTCCTTGTGGCAGTATACCAGAGCAGAGTACAACGTGAAGGGAGTCGTGGCAGGACAGCATAAAAAAGTTTCCTCCACTCGTTGAGTGAGTACTAGTCGAAAGGAGTGCTGCTATAACCAAAGGAGGCATTATGCTTCCAGAAAAATCTCAGGGAAAACGATTGCAAGCAAGAGTAGTTGCCATTGGATCAGGTTCTAAAGGAAAGAGTGGAGAGATTCAACCAGTTAGCCTGAAAGTTGGAGACAAAGTTCTCTCAGAGTATGGAGGCATCAAAGTAATTCTAGATGACAAGGATTATTTCCTGTTTGGAGATGGTGACATTCTTGGAAAGTATGTAGACTGTCACTGTTGAAATGGCGTCAGCATGAAGCTGCCCATTCCACTGAATTTCTGAAATCTTTTATCATGTAAATAATTTCTGTGGCCAGGTGCGGTGGCTCATGCCTGTAATCCCAGCACTTTGGGAGGCCAGGGCAGGCACACCTGCAGTCAGGAGTTCGAGACCAGCCTGGCAAACATGGTAAAATCCTGTCTTAAAAACAAAAAAATTTATGTACACACACATATTATAAAAAATTAATAAAAACAATTTCCATATCTCTCTTTTATAATAAACTAATAACTAATGACAAAAGAAGAAAATATTGGAAATCATCTATCTCCTAAGGGCCATACATGAAAAATATATAAAGGACTATAACAAGTCAACAACAGGCATATCTTTGAAATATATTGTGATTACTTCCAGACTACTGCAATAAAGTGAATATTGCAACAAAGAAAGCCACACAAATTTTTGGTTTCCCTGTGCGTATAAAAGTTGTATTTATACTATACTGTAGTCTTATTAAATATGCAATACCATTATGTCTAAAAAATGTACATGCCTTAATTAAGAAATACTTTATTGCTAAAAAATGCTAACTATCACCTGCACATTAATTGAGTCATAATATTTGGCTGGTGGAGGACCGTGCCTTAGCGTTGATGGCTGTTGACTGACCAGGGGCGTGGTTGTTGAATGTTGGGGTGGCTGTAGCAGTTTCTTAAAGATAGAAATGAAGTTTGCTGCACTGATCAACTCTTCCTTTCACAAGATATTTCTCTGTAGTATGCGATGCAGTGTGATAGCATTTTATCCATAGAACTTTTTTCAAAATTGTGGTCAGTTTTCTCAAACCCTGCCACTGGTTTATCAACGACGTCGATGTAATATTCTAAGTCTGTTGTTGTCATTTCAGCAGTATTTAAAGAAAGCATCTTCACCAGGAGATTCTATCTCAGGAAACCTCTTTCTTTGCTCATCTATAAGAAGAAACTCATCATTCATTAATCTTTTATCATAAGATTGCAGCAAGTCAGTTATATCTTCAGGCTTTACTTTTTTTTTTTTTTTTTTTTTGAGACTGAGTCTCACTCTTGTGGCCCAGGCTGGAGTGCCGTGGCACGATCTTGGGTCACTTCAACCTCCGCCTCCCGGGTTTAAGCGATTCTCCTGCCTCAGCCTCCTGAGTAGCTGGGATTACAAGTACCTGCCACCATGCCAGGCTAATTTTTGTACTTTTAGTAGAGATGGGGTTTCACCATGTTGGCCAGGATGGTCTTGAACTCCTAACCTCAGGTGATCCGCCTGCCTTGGCCTCCCAAAGTGCTGGGATTACAGGCAGGAGCCACAGTGCCTATTCCAGGCTCCACTTCTCATTCTAGTTCTCTTTCAGTTTCTACCATATCTGCAGTTACTTCCTCCAGGAAGTCTCGAACCCCTTGTAGTCATCCACAAGGGTTGGAATCAACTTCTTCCAAACTCCTGTTATGTTGATATTTTAACTTCCTCCATTGAATCATGAAATTTCTTTCTTTCTTTCTTTCTTTTTTGAGACTGAATCTCACTCTGTTGCCCAGGCTGGAGTGCAATGGTGTGATTTCAGCTCACTGCAACCTCCACCTCCCATCTTCAAGCCATTCTCCTGTCTCAGCCTCCTGAATAACTGGGATTACAGGTGCCCACCACCATGCCTCGCTAACTTTTTTTTTTTTTTTTTAAATGTAGAGATGGGGTTTCACCACGTTGGCCAGGCTGGTCTCAAACTGCTGATCTCAAGTGATACGCCCACTTCAGCCTCACAAAGTGCTAGAATTACAGGCATGATCCATGGCGCCTGGCCTGAATCATGAATTTCCTTAGTGGCATCTAAATGGTGACTCCTTTCTAGAAGGTTTTCGATTTATTTTGCCTAGATCTATCTATGGCAGCTATAGCTTTATGAAATGTATTTGTTTTTTGTTACTTTATTATTTTTTTAAGTTTTAGAGACAGAGTCTGTTGCCCAGGCTAGACTACAGTGGTGTGATCATAGCTCACCATAACCTTGAACTCCTGGGTTCAAGTGGTCCTTGAGTGGTCCTGGCTCAGCCTCCTGAGTAGCTACGACTGCAGGTACACACCACCACATTGGCTAATTTTTACATTTTTTGTAGAGAGATGATGTTGCACTATGTTTTTCAGCTGGTTTTGAATACCTGGGCTCAAGTGATCCTCCTGCTTTGACCTCCAAAAGCATTAGGATTACAGGCATGAGCCACCATGACTGGCCCCTGTTTTTTTTTTTTGAGACAGAGTCTCACTCTGTCACTTAGGCTGGAGTGCAGTGGCACAATCTCGGCTCACTGCAACCTCTGCCTCCTCGGGTCAAGCAATTCTCCTGCCTCAGCCTAGTGAGTAGCTGGGATTACAGGCACCTGCCACCTCGCCCAGCTAATTTTTATATTTTAGGAGAGATGGGGTTTCACCATGTTGTCCAGGCTGGTCTCGAAATCCTGACCTCGGGTGAGCCACCTGCCTCGGCCCTGGTTTTTAAAATAATTACGTGTGAAGGTCAGAATTACTCCTTGATCCATGGGTTGCAGAATGAATGATGTGTTAGCAGTCACAAAGACAACATTAATCTCCTTGTACATCTCCATCAGAGCTCTAGAGCAACCAGCTGCATTCTCATTACGGAGTCATATTTTGCTGCTGCTTTTTTTTTTTTTTAAGTACGTAGGAGCCAATGAAGGTATGGATGGGATGGGGAAGTTGTGTTATGTAATCTCTACTTTAGGAAGTTCAGTCCAACAAGGATGACTCAGATGGTTTAGAGAGACCAGTGAGCAGACTGCTGTGAGAGGAACTGAGTCTGAACTAGCATGGAGTAGTGAAGACAGAAAGGGTGCAGAATTGGTAGGACTTGACAACCGATGGAATGTGGGAGAAAGAGAAGATGATGATGCTGTCATCATCCATCAGAAATGAAAGAGGAGGAACTGGGTTTGGAGCAAGGGCCTGGGAAGTTTTGAAACAGACATTATTTATTTATTTAAAGAAAGAAAGAGAAAGAGAAAAGGGGTAGAGAGAACAGGAGTCTTGCTCTATTGCCCAGGCTGCAATGCAATCTAGTAATAGGTATTAAAAACCTCTTTTATGCTGATGATTGTGCTTAACAGTGGAGACAGGAAGGAATAAGGAAAGAAAATAACAAACAAACAGCCAACCAATATTTCGTTTAAATCTGTGAAATGCTGTGCAAGTGCTGAAGAGTGATTTGCTTCCATTTATGTGGTCACTTTCAAAATAGGTGTCATGTGATACTAAAAAAAAATATATGTTCTGTGGACCTGGGGT